ATGTCATCTACTCAAAAAAGTATGAGGAAATGAAAAATAAACAATATGCAACAAAACATTATAAATGGACTTACAATAGCGAAATAGAGTTAATGGGCTTTTGTGATTCTGATTTTGCAGGAGACTGTGATAAAAGAAACTTAACAACTGACTATATTTTTCTTCTTGGTGGAGGAGCAGTTTCTTAGGGAAATAAGAAGCAAGGGTGTGTGGCTAGACACACCATGGAAGCTGAATTCATAGCTTGTAGCACTACTGTTACTGAAGCTGTATAGTTAAGAAGATTCTTGGAAGACTTAAAGTTAGAAAGTATGCCAAGCAAGTTAATCACCATCAGAAATAATAACTAAGCTGCAATACAAACTACCAAAAAATGGTGAAGTTAGTCCCAAAGGGAAACATATGAAATTACAATACTATTACATCTTTGATGTGCATTAGAAAAATGAAATACATATTGAATATGTGCTTACTAAAGGAATGATTGCTGACCCTTTGGCAAAACCATGCATTGTTGGTGATTTTAAGAGGCACGTATATGGTCAATGGGTCTAAGAAGCAATCAATAAAAGTATCTCATCTCAGGCCAATACGGCTAAGTGGGAGATGTTGGACTGAGTGGTATATGGCCCTCGTTGATCTAGCCTTGGTGTATTGGACAAACCGTTGCCATTGGATATAGCCACACACCAATGGACTAATTGCTTACACTTTGTGTATAATATGACACACAATATCACTTCTTTTCATCTTATTATATTGTATTTTATTTTCATATAAATAAAATGATTTGCAAACAAGTTATTTATACTCTTTCACATGTACACATATGTTGGGCCAAGTTAATCCAACATCTATGAACGTTAAGAATAGAAGACTTGGCAAAAGTGGTTGAGAAAAGTAAGGCTTTAAACCCCACTCTATGATACACAAGTCTCGTCCTGATTGAAGCCCAATTAAAAATGAGGATAAGTGGCAAGTTTAGAAGCAAAAGTGGTTACCTGTATTCAAGGAGGTTCCCAACATACAAATCCTTTTTACAATTATAAATAAGAAGGTAGATTTGAGGAACATGTACAAGTGAATTGCATTTATTAAGCTCTTGCAAACTCATTATATTGGTGTTCTTTCGGGCTGTTGAATGGTTCAGGGTCTTGTATCTTGAACCGACGGGTGTCATAATCTTAACTCTCCATAATCATCAACTCTATCTTGCAGAGTGTTTTCATGGAGACTGAAGCTGCTCCTCACACCTAGCGCCTCACATGCACATCCTACCATGCATTGGCCCATACTTATTAATTATTATTCAGGGGAGATATTCTCAATATACGGTGGATGTGCATGTGAGGTGCACATTTGTGAGGAACAGATCCTGCCTCGTTTTCATGAGCCTCATTGTAGCATTTCCCTGCATCCCCTTTATTAATACCGATATAATATGCCCTATATCAAAATGTATTATATCAACATTTAAATCCTTAGATATAATGGTATATATGGGCAATAGTGCGGCTTGGGTTAAGCTAAGTTGGGCTATTGGTATTAGAGGCCTAAAGGCCCTAAACCCAAGCCCTTTCCAAGTTGGGGTGAATTTAATGTTTTCAGCTCGAGACTTTATATATTATAATCTACATTATGAATTTAATTATATTTTTTAACTATTAGTTTTTCTTTATCTATAGAGCTTGTTTCGGATTCATTCAGTGATTGATCTGAGTTGAGTGAGCCACTTTTAAAAAGCTACTTACGGCCTTACGGGTTAACGTAGAGAAAGTTGATGTTTGGGTTCATATATAAGCCTATTTTCGTCTCTCCGTTTATTTTACGAGATGGCAATATATGGCATGGAGCTTCACCTTTACGGCTTTCTAGGTTTCATGGCTCATGCAGCTTCAGCAGAAGCTGCTATCTGAAAGCCCTCTCAAACGAGCATATTTTCAACCTATACAGTATACAGAGTACTGGCTTTTTTTCTGCTAAGGCTGTGTTTGGTTGCATTGCAAATAAATTTACACCGATGCAAAAACATAGCAGTGCAAATGATTTGAGTAAAAATTCTGTTCTATTTTTGTTTTAAATTTTATTAATTTATTTTGTTTGACTGTAATATAAATGAAGTAAATTAAGATACAAAGTAGAATAAAGTAAAACCTAAAATAAAATTAAACAAAAATTTATATAATTTTTATTTGCACTCCCATGCATTTGTACTGATATAAATAAAATTGCACACTGCAACCAAACGCAACCTAAATGTCAAATAAAGCTTACAAACCATTTCATCCCTGAACTTCGTTGGAAACGAGCCTTCTTACATAACTACCTTCACTCTGACAGTACCATTGTTTTTGATTCAAAAGAGTTGTTTGTTTCGTGTTATGTCATGTTTGTACTTTCAGTTGATTTGCATTTATTAACATTCACTGTTTGGGGTTTGGCAACTTCTGTGCTTGACACGTTATCTCCATTCAATTTTTTATTTGTCTTTTATCCCATAGTAACGGATCATGATTGTCAAATTCATAGTTAAATTTGAGGGCAATTTACTTATACCATCCTTGGGGCTTTGTTCAAATGCTAAAACCTCCCCATGTTAGGAATTATGCTAAGGCCCAAGCCTAGACTGAGCCCGGGCCTAACTTGCATTGAAATTTGATGTATTTAGGTTGGGTTTAGATATAGGTCGGGCTTGGGTTATTCAAACAGCCCATTCTGAAATTTGACATACATGTGTGTACCACATGTATTGTCGGGTCAGGTTTGGGTCTAATCCAAGAAATAAAAAAGCCCGGCAACTTGGGCCCAAAACCATCCCGAAGACAAAAAAAATCCAAACCAATCCTGTGTAAAATTGAACGTTCGATTAGTCTGACTCGGTTTGGTTCCACCCAAGTTGTACCCTAAATATTTCATCCCTCTATTGACAGGCCATCAAATTTAATGATGGAAAAGTGTTCACATGACACATATTTTTTAGAAGTTACATTTTATCCTTCACCATTTGTTGAAAGGACAAAATGATGTAGGTTAGAATAATGAAAGGTTGAAATAGGTTCAAGAAAAAGAAAATAAAACAAAAACTTGAAAAAGGTAAAACTGTAATTAGGCCATGTTTGGGAGTGCTTAAATTAAAAATAAGTGCTTATTCGAATAGGCACTTATTTACATTTGGCACCCAATTTTTTCAAGTGCTTATTTTTAAAATAAACACTTATTTTATATTGGGCGTCTGGTAGTCTTTTTCTCTAATAAGCACTTAAATAAGCATTTGTGACTATTTTGTCCTTCATCTTCTTTCAAATTTTCAAAATATACCCCAAGGTTTTTAAAATCGACTTAGACAACAAACCGGTCAGGGGTCTGGTTCTTAGGTTGAATGGTTTGGCCATTTGAACCGAATGGATGGCTCGTTCTAACAAAAAATAAAAATAAAAAACAATCAAAATCGTTGAACGGTTCAACCGCTCGAGTCAGCAGTTTGCTGACCAAATCAACGTTTTTTTGGCAAAAGTCCGATTTGGGAGAAAACTGGAACCAGTCTTTCCGATCTGACCGTCCAGTTTGATCCAGTTTTGAAAACCATGATATACCATTTGAAAGCACTTTTATTAAATTACTTTTATAAAAACACTTTTATGAAATTATTTTTAAAAAATACTTTTATGAAAACACTTTTATAAAGTACTTTCATAAAAGCACTTTACAAAAATACTTTATAAAAGTACTTTTATAAAACAACTTTTACGAAAGTACTTTTATAAAATTCAACTAGGGATAGTTTTATAAGTGGCATTTTAAAATTCAATTAGGGATAATTTTGGAAGAAAAAATTAAATAAGTGCTTATTGTATAAACACTTATAAAAAGTTGGAAATTTGGGAAGTAAGCCCTTATTTTTAAAATAAACACTTATTTCAGGCTTATTTCCCAAATACTAATAAGCGCTTAATGGTCTGAATAAGCACTCCCAAACATGGCCTTAGTGTTCATGTATAGTATAATGTTATTTTCCAATTTGAAAATATACATTTTAGAGGCAAAAATGATATTTTATTATTTAGAGCATTTTGATAAAATACTCGTGTCTGTCTTGATTCTATCCCTTCCATTAACAAATCCCTGTAGTTTTGTGGCAAAAGGGGTATAAGTTAATAGTTAAATCTGAGGTCAGGTCTTAGTATTTAACCAAAATCCCGGAGGAGGCATAATTAAATAGTTTATCCTAAATTTTATCCTTGTTGCAGAGTAGTTAATGAATCCAACTACTAAAAAATTTAGCATTCATGCCTTTAATCCTTGCATTGGATTTGATCATGGGTCGGATTCAGATCTTCACTGCAACAATTAGAGCCTTAAGAGGTAATCATAGTTGTACTATTTAATTTATGATAGTGAATAGGGCCTTTCCCGTAGAAGTACATTATTTTTTTTTCCTTGTTTATATCTTGTATTGTGGTTTTATATGTTTCTTCTTGTCTGATTGTTGTTATTAGAGGATAAAAACCTATTCAGGGCCTTCACCTAATAGTTTAATCTTTTAGGTTGAACAGTTCCTTGAGATGATATTAGAGCCAGTTTGACCAAGTGGTAGTGTCCGATTCTCACCCTTTCCCTATTATAATTAATTAAATTTCAGCACAAGGTATGGGTGGGCACGTGCTTGTTCACGCTTCAAGCCCAATAAGCTTTTGTGTGAAAGGGCGTGTTAGAGAATAAAAACCTATTCATGGCCCTCATCTAACTGCATAAGCTTTTAGGTTGAATGGTTCCTTGATGGTTTAATCTATTTTTTCTTTTGGTACATTGCGCACATGGCTAAAAAATGAAATTCCACACAGTAAAAGCATAAAGCACTAAAACTGAATAGATGATATAACCATGGGGTTCTCCTACTCTGATATTTTTATGGAAAGAACTAAATATGGCATTAAAGATGGATAATTGCAATAAAATGAATTATATGAAAGTTTCTTGAATTTTTAGATCTGCTACCAAAGTGGATACGCGACATATAGAAAAACTTGAAGAATTTCTTTTTTTTTTTTCTACTTTGCTGTTAATCAACCATGAAACAGAATACACAATGTACCTAAGATTGACAAACCAATGAATTAAAATAAAACATTAACCCCAACAAGTTCCACAGATATTTCCTTATGTACAACCTGAATCCCTCCAAAAGATGTATACCGAGAATGGGATTGTCAACAACTTTGTCATCATCATCCAATTTTTATCCTGGTTCTACTAGCTGCAATATCTTTCTTATCTCCTCTGGAAGTTGAATGCTCTTATTGAAAAGGCAAAGATGAATACAAAGAGCACTGTGAAGCCAACAATTACAGCAGCAACCACACCCAGAAAGTCATGTTTGAATCCAAAATATTCTCTAAGATAAGATTCGACTGTTTCCCCTGTATCAAGTCTGTCTTCTATATCTCCAAACTGTGAAACAGATAATCCATACAAGGTCCAAGCAACAGGACAAGCCCAATAGTACCATCTCCACCAGACAGGAATCCTCTGGAATCAACCATAAAAGCTTTAGATGTTAGTACCACTACCTTTTAAAGAAAGTTGACATTGTAGGAGCACATAGGGGATCTTTGAAACTTACTGTTCGTGGGACTATAAATCCTGAGAAGAGGTTCCATATTAAATAGAAAGCAGAGGAAACTATGGCAGCAATATTGTGATTTGGAGTGACAGCCACAGCCATCATCCCATAGAATGTGAAGTATAACAATGTGAAGTACATGAAAAATATATGCCAAAAGAACTTTGCAGCTGTCCATTCAAATCCAATCATGGCATAAACTATGACCCCATATACTGAGGCTTGCACAAAGATATGTGGAAGCTCAATCATCACCTGTGAGTAACCGAAAGAAATTCAGTAAGAACATAAAGATGAATAGATTAATTTCCTATTAGAAAACCTGGGCATTTGCTTTGTTTAATATCTCAAGGAAAGATATACAAAGTACCTGTGCATAGGCATATGGTAAAGCCGAATACATTCCAGCTGCTTTCTCTCTGTAAAAGACTGTCCGTTCTACCGCCACAACAGGCTGAACAGCTGAGGAATTTTGGACCCCAAGGAAAAGAACAGCAGCATACATAGAACCTATTGCATTAATAAGATCCTGTTTCCTTCCTCTGAAATTTCCAATTTTGAGATCAAGTTAAACCAACTAAAGAGGATAAATAATAAAGATCATGGAGCTCTCTAGTTTCTTCTAACATGAATTACCTCTTGGAACCAAGATCCCAAAATATTGTCCCAAACATAAGGGCTATGAATGTTGTGAATAGAAATCTCACTGCAGTGTACGATGGGTTGCGCCAATATGACAAGTGTTGTTTCCATAGGCAAGCCATGCATTGGGTGATAAAAGGCTGTGAATACTTTGTAGGGAAGTAAAGGTCTTTAGAACCGGGAGAAGGAGTGCTTAGTTCTTCAATTAAAGATTTGTTCCTCCTGAGACAATGATAAAATATCAATAATAACTACAACAACAAAGCTATCACTGTCTTAGGAAGGAGCATGCTTGTACAAATTAACATACCTATAAAGTTCAGACCTCTTGTACACCTCAGTAAAATCTACCCCTAGAATTTCTTCTTGTGCTGTTGTAGTCACCTCCAACATCCATGTTGCTGGATTATAACCATCTTTTATTTTGCTTACTCCCTCAATTCCCTTGGTCAATACAGCCATTTTCATCAGTATTTATACAGTATAAATTTGATGTTCTAAAGAGAACAATTTCCATTTCACAGTTGAATGTTTGTTAGTCCTCACCTCAAAATACTTGATCAGATGGCAAGAATGATGCCCTAATGGACCCACATAGATTTCCTGTCCTCCTCGCTTCATTAGAAATAACTGTAATCCCATATTAATGGACTTCAGTATCTCGCATAAAAGAAATATCCCACAACAGATTGCTAATTATTTGATCTATAACATTTATTACCTCATCAAATGCTTCAAATATGTCAATACTTGGCTGGTGAATGGTACACACAACTGTTCTTCCTGTGTCCACAGTGTTCCTCACTGTTCTCATCACAATTGCAGCAGCCCTGGCATCAAGTCCTGAAGTTGGCTCATCCATGAATATTATAGAAGGGTTTGCGACAAGCTCAACTGCAATGGTCAATCTTTTGCGTTGTTCGGTTGAGAGACCATTTACACCAGGCAGTCCAACTAGTGCCTCCCTCAAAGAGTTCAGCTCCACAAGCTCCATGACCTCCTCAACGAACATCTGCACGCATTAGTTGTTAGTTTTTCGCCAATCTGTATAACATTATAACTAGATAAAACAACAGAAAAAACAGATCAAAACATCAAACCAATCAACTAACCTACCTTTCTTGTTGAAGAATCAACGTCGGGAGGTAATCGGAGCCAAGCAGAATATAGAAGGGACTCATACACTGTAACATAGGGAGAGTGGATATCGTTCTGCTCACAATATCCTGATATTCGGGCAAATGTCTCCTGCTTCTTGGGGTAACCAGATATGGTGATGTTTCCTTCTATATATCCACCTGTTTTTCTTCCAGCCAATACATCCATTAAGGTGGTCTTACCAGCACCACTGACACCCATTAATGCTGTTAAGACTCCTGGCCTAAAAGCTCCACTCACACCCTTTAAAAGTTCTAACCGGTCTTCAGTAACACCTTGATTTTTCATTTCCTGCAAATTCAGTTTGAAGAATAGGTTATTAGCCATGACTGATGGGATGTTGAAGAAATGAACTCTATTTCACAGGCTAATTTACCACTTATTTTTTGTGAAACTTAAGGAGTACCTGTGGCATATCTACAGAGTATCTAATTTCATCAAATGTGATGGAAAGAGGTTGAAATGGAAGAACCATGCCCCGTCTAGTATTCTCATTAACTTCATCAATGGTTTCTGCCCTTACAGATGAAAACCCAGATGAGACACTTCTTCTAATTTCATCTTGTCTTTCTGCAATCATATCAATCAATTTAATCCATTTTATAAAGTATGACTTTTCAAAACATAATAAAATATGGAGATTTCAATCACCTCCAGATGTGGTACGACCAGTGGAACTCATTCCTTGAGAGGAAGAGCCTTCTACTTCTCTAGTTCTGCTTGTGTCTTTGTTGCTCAGAGTCTCTTCAGATATAACTGCTTGAGGCTTCTCAAATGCTGCAGGAACATTATCCACGTATTAGAACTTGATACCCAACATCTGAAAATTTAGAAATGTAGAGACGATACTCACGATTGAGATAAGTTAGAGCCACAGTAAAAAGGAAATTGAACAGAAAGATGTATCCAATCATTGCCCCTACTCCAATCCAATACCAACGTGCCTCTGCAAAGAATCCACGGGACTTGATCGCGGATACTCCAAGTGTTTCTGTTTTATTAAGAGGTACCTACAATAACATAGTTTATTTACTTTAGTTGATTTTAAATGGGATATTCTCTTCTTTTTAGTTTTTTTCCCCAATCCAAAGACTTACATGTCTCCAACTCTTCCCGAGAAACTCATTTACTGCTAATGCATTTTGTCCATACATCAGAGGTGACACCCAATAACCCCATATCCACCATTTCTTTACATTCTCTGTGGAAATCACAAAGTTATTTTTGCAATAAATAAACATGCCAATACGATAACATTGCAAAGAGGAATGATGAATAAGCTCAATTTAAGTGCAAAAGCATGCTTTGTAGTTTATTTTGAATATACCTCGTGACAAAATAAAGCCACCCAAAACCAGAACTGCAAGCAATGAAAATGACCCAAATGTGTTTGCAACAATCATATTCCTTCCTACTGATCCAATGAATCGGAACAGTGCAGAAGCCACCTGATTGACAAGTAGGAGTAAAAAATACTGTCTAAACAACCTGCAGCAATAAAATTTCCTGGGGTTATTACCTGAAATTGGCAAACATGAAATCTAAATATGAGCAGGTGGTAGATCGAGTAACTACAATTTAATTTATCCAGTATTTACCTCTCAACGTTTGGATCAAAACCAATGACATAATAAGTAATGAATACCCAAACTGCAACTTCCATAAATGAAATTGGTATTTTAAGGATCCATGTGGGGAGAGAATATGCCCATGCAGGAAAGAAGAGGAGATCCCTTTGCTTGTAAAAGACTGGAAGCTTTTGGATTGTCATGGCCATCTCTGAGAATCCATTGAACATAATCATGATAAGAGTGAAAAACAGAGCGCCCATAAAAATCCCAGCATCAGTGTCGTCTCGTCGGTGCATCTTGGTACGTAGGAAGATTGTCATTGTGATCAAAGCTACAATTGTAAGCTGGAAGCAGGAAGAGAAGAATTAGAATCATTAAGTTGGCTTCAACAAAAACACTTCAATAAAATGCTCATACTTGTGTCATCTTGAAGATGTAAACAAATGAGTTTCTCTTCATCAGCAAGAATTCTCTTGAGCTGCAAGCTTTCAACAGTTCCTTTTTGCTAACACCATACTTCTTAGTTGATAAAGCAGCTGGGTGGCTCTTGGTCTTGTCAAAAGGGGTTGCAAGCTCTTCTTCTAGTTTCTTGCCAACGTGGAATGAGTGGAATGCCTCTGCAAATTCCTTGGCGGAAACAAAACTATATGGTACATCTTTCCGTGCCCAGTACTGTTTCTGATCTTTTTTTGATGTCACCTGTCATACCCAGGAAGAACTCAGCTTTCACAACGATCAAATGGATGAGGGAAGAAAAGAGAAAAAGGAGCCTAGATTCAGGGCCTTGCTTACCTCTTGCAGGAAATCAGCAACCCCTTTTCTCTCAGGACATTTGAAGCCCATAGATTCAAAGAACTCAAGCACATTTTCACGGGGCCCCTGATAAACGATCTCCCCATCTGAGAGGAGAATGATGTCATCAAAAAGATCATAGGTCTCTGGTGCAGGCTGGAGGAGGGAGATAACAGCAGTCCCATTGAGGATGTGAATGGACTGCCTCAGTGAATTCACAATCTGAAAAGTTGTGGAGCTGTCCAAACCCGTAGATATTTCATCCATGAACAATGCTTTTGCTGGTCCAACCAGCATCTCCCCTGTAACATATCAGACAAGAGTTTCAAAATGAACAAGACAAATAGATTCTGAGGGAAAAAAGTGATCTGTTAGTTTCTATAGAAATTCATCTGAGTTGTAACACAAAGTAGTGAATTCAAATGAAAATTACAAATGGAAAATGATTCTTTTCTTGGTTATAAAATAAATTGGCATACCAGTTGTCACACGCTTCCTTTGTCCTCCTGAGATACCCCTCAACATTTCATCACCTACCATGGTATCAGCACAGATGTCCAATCCCAAAATCTGATAATTTTAAATGGAATAAAGAGGAAACTTGTTAGATTGTCGTCCTCTGGTGCTTCTTAAATGTTCTCTATAATTATATTATGGATTTTATGTAGAGGGTTGATACCTTTAGAATATAATCTGTAACTACACTGGCCTCCTGCCCTTCTAGTGAGGATGCCTGCAAGTGTGTGCAAACAGAGGAATTCAACCGCCATGGAATTAAATTTCAGGAACTAAGATTCTTTTCTTATAAGCAGAAAATTTGGTAAACAAAGTAAGGGGATAAAAGAGATGGAATTAAACAAAGGGCACAGCCCACTGGATCTAAAACCCTTTCCAGCTCCAAAACACCAAAATTTTGTTTCCCAGGATGGATAAACTACATGTTATCTTGTCTAAAAACCATCCATATCTCTTGAAAGGTCTCCATTGCAAAAGAGTTTCATTTTCTTACCTTCATGTAAACATCTATATCAGGATCAGGTTTGATATTTGCTGCCTTTTCTCTTCTTGCCAACTCCACCAACATCTCTGCAGATTGTGGAAAGGGATAAAAAAGAGATTTAATCTGCGAAGCTCCTCTGACTAAATTAAGTAATTGTACAAAGAAATATCATCTATGACTTACCATAACCTGTGCCAACGCCCTGACACCTAGCAGAGAAAGCCAATGTCTCTCTCACAGTCATTTCTCCAATATGAAGATCATGTTGACTGATATAGGCTGATGTCCTCTGTGGAACAAACTCATCCAGTCCATGGCCATTGTAAGTTACTCTCCCAGAAACCTGATGGTTTGGAAAACAAAAATATGAACATCCATGTTTAGATAAGAAGATGAATGAAAATTTTCCAAAGGACAATTTTTTAATTTATTAAAGAAATTATCCAAAATCTAGATATATCAACACTCCAAGCATGAAACATACACATTCGACATCACCTTGATTTTCCAAGAACATTAATGGTAACAACAAGAAATGGATTGAAAAGCCCCTACCTTTAGATCTGGATCAAGCTTTCCAGCCAAAGCCAAGAGCAAGGTGGTCTTTCCTGAGCTTGGGGGACCTAAGAGCAAGGCCATTCTGCAAGATTGAAGAAGTAAAATAAGAATGATATGAAGATTCTATATTAGAATGTGTGAAAACAAAATCAACTAAAGTTCAGTTCAAAATTTAAACGTTGATCTTCCCACCTAGAAGGCTTGATAATTCCGCTGACATCTTGAAGGATCGAAAATGGTTTCTTTCTACTTGGAAGAAGGTGGAGATGATTCAACAACCCCTTTGAAAAAAGGATAAATTACAAAGTAAGCAAGACATGTAAACAGGATTCAAGACACAGTTTCGTAAAATATGCATAATGGTGTATATCTTCAGTACTGATGTAAAAATGATCTATATCTGCAGTAGCTTACCTCTACTATATTAACAGAGAAGTTGAGGATTGTAGGTAGAGCTCTGCTTCCTACATAAGCATCTGCATTAATGCTAAGATGCTCGAAACGGACTTCGATGGTAGGAATATCAATTCCAACTCTATATAAAACCAGTAAACAGAGTAAACCCAAAACAGAGATATTAGGATAAAACAAAGTTCATAAAAAATACAGACAAGAACCTCAAAAGTCTGATAAATTTAGAAGAATATAAAACATATAAGTTTGTTATTTTTCTTTCCAACAATAATAAAGTGTTTCCAACCTATCAATCCGGTTCTTGAGCTTCGAGAGAAACTTCTCATTATCCTCCTCCGCAACTCGTACCAGTCTATCCAGTAAATCCTTCTTCTCTTGAATTCCAAGACTTCCAATATCAATCTCACTGAGCTCACTTCCTGCACCAATGAGGATACCTTTCCTCAAACGATTATAAGTGGGCAATTTCTCAAGAGCAGCCCATTTCAAGGCTTCTTCATCATCTTCTTCTCGAGAAGATCTCGAGAAAACCTCAACTGCACTGTTCCTCCAGACGGAACTGTTTCTGCGTAAACTGCTGACCTTATAAAGATCAGCACTCTCCATTGAACCACACCAAACAGCAGGACCCACAGATGCCCTGTGAACCCAACAAGAAACCCAGAAACTTTCTTCAAGATTCAGGCATGCAAAGCTGGTTTACATAATCCTAGAGCTGCAGCAACCAAAATCAGAGATGGGGTTCGGCCACCTCGCTATGTTGTTAATATGAAGGAGGATGGCAAGGAATCAGCCATGGCGACACCCAGACTTATATAGTGAGAAAATATGGGTTAGGCGGCTGTTGAAGTTCAATTTCCAAATCAAACGTGACTTAATTTATCGTTTGAAAAAAAAAAAATCCTTCATTCATCAAAATGGCGGGAGAATTTACCAGAGCCCAGATGACAGGCTCTACACCCTTGAATTTTCTTGCTTCTATTCCTTCCATATTAGCACCGTTAATATTTTCCACAACCCCGCCGCCGCCAGGACAAAGAAAATTAACGAACAGTTTGTTTCGTGTTAGGTTGATACTGAGCACCATCGTTTTACGCTACTCCCTGTCATCTCAACCATCCGAAACATGCCCCCGGATTGAGCGGCCAGAAGCCCAGTTGTGATGAAAGCTTGGACAGCTTAAACGCTAGGGATCACCTAATAATGATGCGCTAGAGTTCGCCTTATTATATCCATTAACGGACAAATGAATTTCTTAAATCATAAATTCATAATCATAGACCCTTCTTTTTATACCCAAATTACCCTTCTGCTATAATTCAAAAGAATAGACGGAATCGTGGAAATTACGTGCCTTATTTTGGCAAGTCTTTTCCAAAAGATCTGTAACAAGATACGACAGTTAAAAGACAAATAGATATTGGAAGATCAAAGACTATTTGATTGAATTGGCAAGTCTTGTGTGTGGACCAAGGAACCTCGTGAGATCTATATACATTTTTTAAAGTAGACCAGACATACCATTAGTGGACATGTATGTGGGGTTCACATACATTTTTCAAGGTGGACCCCACATACATTTTACATGGTAGGCCCCACATACCATTGGTGAACATGCATGTGGGTCCATGTGTGGACATGTATATGGAACCCACATACATGTTTCAAGGTGGGTCCCACATACCATTGGTGGACATATATGTGGGGCCTACACATTTTTCAAGGTGAACCCCACATACCATTGGTGGACATGTATGTAGGATCCATCTATCGACATGTATGTGAGGCTAAATGCATTTTTCAAGGTGGGCTCCACATAATACCTAATGTGGTTCCCACATATATTTCCAAGGTGGGCCTTACATACTATTGGTAGGTCCCACTTACACATTCAAATAGTTTTTTCTCAAAAGATGACCCATTTTCTCCCAAACATGTGCATCATGCCACACGTTCGAAAAAGACGAGGAGTGCTAAAAGATTATAAAAGCTTCATTTGAAGCTTCTTGAAAAAGCCTAAATTCGGCATAGGCTAGAGTTTTTTTTTCATCTTTTTATTACCAAACGAAAAAAGTCCATAATTCAGACTTCCGAGCTTCTAAACAGCCCGAAACCCACACAAAAAGACTTGCCAAACACGGCTATATCAAGCTGCCTTTCCAAGAAGCAGCTTGATAGTTGATATGATCCAATTAAGATAATCCAAATTTGTTCGGTTTATAATTGTATCAAATATAAACTTGGGTAGGGTTTAGGAATTAATATGAGACCGAAATCTAACCCGAATATGATGTGATTTGCAGCAATCAAAGATAGCTAGGAATAGCGAAAGGGGCGGGTGGGTTCACGGTGGAAATCATATTCATCGTTTCTAACCTTGACTTTGAAACAAATCTTGTCTCCTAGTGGGGAAATCAGAGTTATGAGGTGGAGTGCAGTACAAAAATCCCTAAAATTAATACCTTTTATTATCAAGGACTTGAATTCCCAAAATTTTTACAAGGTTTTTAAAATTGAGTCGGACAATGAACTGGTTAGGGGTTTGGTTTCTGGGTGAAATGGTTCAATCATTTAAATCGAATGGATGGCCCGTTTTGACAAAAGAATAAAAAATGACCAAAACTACTGAACGGTTTGACTGTCCGGGTCAACGGTTTGCTGACCAAATCAACGTTTTTTGGGTAAAATGGTGATTGGGTCCCAGTTTTTCCAGTCCAGTTTTGAAAATCATGAATTTTTGAATTAAAATTATTATTTTTTAAATATATTTACTTAAAATATTGGATTTTTTTAAATATAAAACCATTTTGATATAAATAATAAAAATAATATATATATATATATATATATATATAATCAGGTTGGGATGGGGCGGGGAATTCACTCTCCATCCCTGGTTGGGCATCACTATCAATTCCCATCTATGCTGACATGTAAAAAGACCATTCAATCTATGTTGACATGGCATAGATTTGAATTTGACAGCTGGCCATTTATGCTGACATGGCATAATAACCAGAAGCTCTTAGAAAAATCTCCCCATGGTTTCCGAACTGTTGTTGACCCAAGCAGTTGAACCATTCAATCTGGTATATTTGCTTGCATGAGCCTCTAAAAATCTCTCTTTTGCACTTAACTATGATTTCCTAAAAAAACTATTGACTTACTCAACAAAATGTTGAGCTAGACGGTTAAACCACTAAAATGTTCGACCCAGAAAATAGTTTTTGGATCAATTTTATCTTTTAATTATTTTTTTTTATTTTTAATATTTAACATTATAATGGACTGATCTGTTCAGACTGGATATATTAACTAACCATTGATCCAAAACGGCCAAAACAGTTTTATTTTTGGATCAATTTTTAAAACCTTAATTTCGAATTTGAAACTGAGGGAAACCCAAACACACGCACACACTCTCCCTCTTGGACCCGAATTCTCTCTACACCGACCTTCCCTCCTTCCCTCCCGCTGGTTCATTTTGGACCTTCGGACTTTCGGAGACTCGACCGTGGTTGCTTTGTCCATGGTTTTACAAAATCCCGGATATTAACGTTTAAAATTGGATCTAAGCCGACTCAATCCGATCCGTTTCCACTTTTCAGTCATGGTGGTGATTTGTCTTGAGTGACGTAGTCTTGACTCTTGAGCTTTGCATCTCCAGCTTCCAGTCAAACCATCTACCATTTATTTGTCGTTGTATGATTTGAAAAAAAAAGTTACCAACGCTCTACGTCTTCCCAATTAATTGGATGGATGTTAATGGGTTACGACCCGTGAAGATGACCCGCTTCTGTCCATAATAAAAGGTCACATTCGAGTGTTGAAAAGTCTATTTCTAGACTTGAGTCGGAAGGAACGAATCGGGTCCATGATGACTCCATGTCCATGTTAAACGGACGTGATTTATTATTCAAAAGTCAAAAAGGCCAAACAGGCAAGTAATATTATTTATGACCCGGCCAATCTGGGTCTTAGGTTGAATAATCAACCTAAGAAATGCTGAACTTCTATGGTTTGAACAATTGAAGTAAGCAAACAGGCAAGAGTTTGAACAATTGAACTTCTAGATGACAGCAGCTAAGAGATGATCTCTGCTGTCCCAATTACATTCTGCCACCTCTATGGTTGAAGTTTACTTTTGACTTTTTTTAAGAATCCCAATTTCCTCCTCTTACAGCATTTATAACCATAAATTTGGAATATCTCCCATGAATGGAAACATATAACTATAAAAGATGTTCTTAATACTGTTTGGTAAAAAAAAAAAAAAAGAAAGAAATTGGGATTTGGAACATCTCTTCGAAAATGGCAGCATAGCATACAAGTAAAAAGACATTTCCCGTGTGTGGTTGTCTTATCCTGTAGGGTTTTGAGTGGGAGATACGAACTATTGCAAATGACAAAAAATGTGGCTCGTACCTGCTTGAGGAATGCAGCCAATGAATTGCCTTTCACATGTTAATTTTAAGATTTATAGGGCTTATAATTTAGGCTTTAATGTTTAAGGGCCACGGTTTAGATCAATGTTTTAAAAATCGATTTGGAGGTTGAATTGTTTTTTCTTTCAAATCGAATGGGTCAATGGTTGAACTGGATAAATTGAATGATTTTTTATTAAGTCAATGAGTTTTGACCACTGATGGGTTTTGATTGAACTGGACCTAGAATCCTGACTGGGTGATAGTTCGAACGGTTCAACTGGCCCGATCAATGACAGACTGAAAACACTAGTTTAGATATAAAAAAAGAAAAGAGGTGGTTTGGATGCATTTGTCCAATCATGAAAGGAGGGAGATAAAGCTCTGCATAAAGATCATACACATTGAGCCATGTATATATATATATATATATATATATATATATATATATAATATTAGTGCTTAGAGAAAACTTTGGTCGTTCATGTTCCATGGCCTATGCTGCCCAATCCAAGTCATTAGTTAGTTCATACAGCTATGCCTCCAACATTGCCACTGTTTCATCAAGTTCATCTATGTATACTATACTAGCAAGTAAACCTATGCATGCTTGAATAAAAATTTGATTAGGTTTGGATCCGCAAATTTCAGTTTTACATTAGTTTGGGTCCAGGTCTAGGTTATGTCTTAGGTTTGGGTTGGCTCTTAACTTGACCCAATCTATATAATTTATTTATATTTAAGAGGAAAGAAGAGATTTAATGGGGGACAGAAAAATGTTACAAACATTTATTTCGGGTGGAGAGGAGTTTTAAGAATTTGTTTTCTTTTTTGTTAAAAATATAAGAATAATCTTATTAGAGAGAGAGAGAGCGCAAATGATGGATTTTATTTAGGAATGGCAATGAGCTGGAGTGGGGTCAGGTTTTATATATCCTATCCCGACCCCAAACACATATACCCCACCCCACACCTTCCCTTACCTTGTGGGGAACAGGGATCCTTGAATTTTCCCTGCTCTGCCCTGACCCTTAGGCTGCATTTGGAAATGATGCAAAAAAGTGTGAATGCAAATATGTAAAGTGTAAAATGTCTCATACAAATTGCAAAATTGGGTTAATTTTGCATTTATTGATGTACTTTTATATCTTCTTATCAATGTAAATTTGCATTGGTCTGTCATTTGTCAATAATAAATATAATGCTGTCAAATACAGGCAAAAGTGAACCTAAGTGCAAATTTACCCTAAACCAGGATTTATACTCCATTTGCATCGTTTCCAAATGCAGCCTTACTGGCTAGCATGGTTTCATTCACATTTGGGTTAGGCTTGACTCCATGTTTTTTT